GCTTGCCCTTCCATGGAGAAGTCTCATGAAATCGCTGTGGACCAAACGTAATACTCTCTCCTTGCACCAACGGTAACATCTGTCCGAAAACCATCTGCTTCCCATTACTTCGCTGCTCAATCGTCCCACGTACTACATCCCCGGCCTTCAGCTCTATCCACAACTCACCTCCTTGATCCGGACAACAAATAGGAACCACAACGTTCTTGGTGGCATAGTCATTATTGAAGTCCTTGTGCATAGTACGGGGTGTATTGTGCGACACGAGAACTGAGGTGAACGCTGCTTCCGGGTTAATCTCCAGGACAATCTTGGTGAGCAGCCTAGTAAGGTCCGGAAACTCCTCGACGCTTGACAACCATCCGACTGTTCCTCCATGACGATAAACACCAAACTTCCGTTGCTCGAAGAAACCCCCTTCAGCCAACTTCTCTACTAAGGCCATAGCTCGTACTAAGCTCCAGTCATCAGTGATCTCCTTGGCCTTCACTGTCGCAAGCTCCTTTACCTCGTCTGACGTCATAGTAATAGCTCGCATTTGGACCTCCTTAGAGTCCGTTTTTTCTGTAATCCTCCTCCTTGGTTTGGGAGGCGTCGCGATGTAGAGATCTTCGTCTGGAGTTCCTGGCTCGACCAGATTGGCTCGAACATGCATGGTGTGCAGGAACTTCTCCTTCTCGTCCCCGTCCTGCGGAACGTACACCAAGTGTCCGTTGTGGACAATGCTGCTCAAACCGACATACTTGCCCACCAGCCATTTACTCTCCAGTCCAAGCTCTCGCCGTAGGGGTCCCGCTTTATCGAATCCCTTTTTCCGTAAGTGTACTGGTGCTCCGTACGGGGCTGCAAGCTGAGATTTCCACCCCAGCACCTTAGCTCGCTGCTCCGCAGCCGCTGTTGCTGCCGCTGTTGGCCACAACCGCATAGGAAGACCTGATGCCCGTAACAGTGTCCTCGTACGGTCCTTGATCCATCGCACTGTAGACTCTGCTTGACCATTTCCTTGTGGTACACTGGGCTCAGACCATGTTCCATAGACTCCTTGATCACGTAGCCAATTTCGAAACCCATGGTTGTAGAACTCCCCCTTGTCGGCGTGGAAGCGGTAAATCGGAAACCCATGGTTTTGTAGATATAGCACCATATCTTGTACTCCACGCTTAACGGTTGCCGATTGGTTATTCGGGAGTGCCGCCGCGAACGTCAAGAACGTCATCTCTGGGGCTACACAATCACCATGTTCCATCACCACATCTGAAGGACGCTCAACCTCCTCCTCAGCAGGCTCCTCCTCCTGGACTGGTTCCTGATCATCACACTCCGCCACCTCTTCACTGTTCTCCACATCATCCCTTTCATCCCCGGCAATTCCAATTACCTCAACTTGTGGAACTTCGGGTAATGATGCATCCCTCACCTCAGACTCACCAAACAACTCTTCCATGTCACGCTGCTGCTCCTCTGTGAGAGGTAGCGCTTCGGGGGCCTGCTCGGTGCCGATGTCCAAGGACGTAGGGTTGCCAAAGCACTCTTCAATGAATTGCTTCGGAACCAGATACTTTCCTATAAGTAGGTAGCGGAGCCCCTTGCCAAGCGCTCCCTTCGAGGTAGCATCTAGTCCCGGACTAAGCGGTCCCGCAACGTCCGCGGTCAAGACATATGCTTCCGGGTGATGGATACGTCGATGTTGTCGTCCTAAACCTCGGGACATAACACACGTAGCGCAGTCCTTCCGATAAACTGCGTGGTTTGTGCGAACATGATTTTTCCACTGCTCTGCTGTCATCGCACACATTCGAGGAGCACATTGTGGATGCCGCTCCCAAACACTTAACGCAACTTTGATTGCTCTGACCAAGCCAGGTGCCCAAATATAATCTCGGTCTCCATGTGGTGGGGCAGGATCATCCTCTGGTAGTCGAACTTCGCTCAGCGCCATCAAGGAATTGACGTTGGTCCCCAAAGTGGTGCTGTTTCGTGCGAAGCCTCCCATTGCTCCTTGATCAAACGACACTGTCCTCATTTCCAGCTCACGCTGAAAACCCTTCCACATCCTTGTGTCCCAAAATGCGACATCACCATTGAGTGTGCTTCTACCAACTTGATCTTCCCATCGAGGTCGCTGTACTTGCTCCCAATAGCGCCTGGTCTGTTCCCATGACGCTCCTTGGCCTCGACCAGGTACTCTTGATGCATCCTCGGCCCGCTGAATCTCCTGCTCACGAGCTTGTCGCTGGGAGGCTGGGAATCCTTCTGGGTACTCCATCACGAAAGCCACGTCTCGGTTGACATTGATTCCACTTGCATTCAGCTCACGACCAGCTTGGGCCACGACATACAACCACATCATTCTGGCAATTAACTTCAGGGAATTCACATCTCTTTCCCCACCATTGCAGTGCTGATGTAATCGCCCTGGAGGACCTCCTAGCACCACATCCACTTTGCCATGCTTTGCACCCCATAGTAGCATGCGCCATATCTCGTCGCGTAGAATGCTGTGTCCACTGCATCGGGCTAGATCTAACTCCACCACTGACGTTTCACCTTGATCCAGCTGCATCAGTTCCCAGTGTCCTTCCTTGCCCGCGAACAAGTGAACCACCCATCTCTTGCTCCCCATAAGCTTCCTCCTCTGTGGCCTTGTGAGGAAACCATTGAGCTTGAAGATCTCCCAGCCATTCTCCAACCCAGCACCTGGAATGAGTCCTGAGATACACTCACCAGGTAAGTCCTCGAAGAACGGTGCGTCCCGAACTGCTCGAAGTCCTGACTCGAAGGATCCCTTGCCCACATAGTCGTACAAATAGTGGTTCCAATGCCTTTCCATTGCCACTGCGGAAAGACCAACTTTGTCCCTCGTAGTCAGCATCTCATTCTCCAGGCGCTCCAGCTTTCTATCCTCCATACGTGCTATCAGCGACAAG